AAAACACTAAACACAGGTTCACTAAGAAGGTAATCACATCATTTGACCATAATAACATAATAACAATGGTCAAAAGACTGGCGGATCAGAACCATTATAATACCGGGTTTTAATGAAGGAAAATGTAACAAAAGTTCACTACAGAAATCAAGTTCAGGCATACAGTCACCTAAGATGGAAGGTTGAAGTACTCCTCAGGCGTTTTGAACATGGCTCCACCAGCAATACAGAGGTACACTGTGACGCCGTCGATCTTAAACTTAGGCTTCAAATCCTTCGTCTTTGCGTCACGAAACGCGTCACGGAACTGCTCCTTCGCCTTTTGAATGGGGACGGGCAGATGGACACTGACACCAACGCCAGACTTAGGTGGCAAACCATAGGCGTGCTTCAGAACCTTGTCTCGATCCAACATCGAGACAAACTTGCAGATAATCGGGTTACCGCGCATTTTTGGAAGCCGGTGGACGTTTACCAAGTGAATGCCTCTGACATTCTGCATCCCCAACTTTTCCTCCATGAATTTATAGACCTTCTCGATGACGTTCTCCTCCTTTTCCACAGTAATTCCCCAGAAAAGAAGGTTCTGCTTCTTGGAATAAAGCTCCGACAGCAAAAGCTTGCCCTCTAGTTCGTTAACACGCTTTTCCAGCTTCGCGATACTAGAAGTAGTTTCCTTTTTTAACTCGCCGATCTCTTCATGAGCGAAGGAAACGCTCTGTTTTACAGAAACCACCTCCTCACGTAGCGACTTCATGTCGTCACTTAGGGTACAGATTGCGACGTTTAACTTCTCGAAGCTTGCTGACGTCTTTGCCGCGAATTCCCTTAGCTGGGCTGAGATAGCACTCATAGACACCTGGGTCGACTCCATGTTGTCCACTTCTGATTCTTGACCCAAAGACTTCTCCGTGGTACGTCTCCGTCTCCTTTTCGACTGCTGTTTATCCGGCATTGGATTCAGATGAGCAGACAGTGGCAATATGCCTTAAACAATCGACAAAAATGGACGAATTGAATGGAAAATACCCGGTATCATGAGAGCACAAATCACGTACGTGTGCTCTTGGCCGCCATCTTGAACAAACATGAAAGGGAAGTTTGATCACGCTGGTTTCAACTGTTAGTCAGCAAAACAGATGCAACCGTCCCGGGGTAATTATAAGTCAGCAGTGTTTGGAGAGTGTTTAGTGATTAAATTCGGCTACAATTTGACTCAAATTCGTTTTGACTCATATACAAAAGCTAGGCGTGACCCTGATCTGGCTAGAATGCTCCCGAACACTGTATATGTTCGGCTGGTGTTTTGGAACGAATTCGTGGGGAGTTTGTGAATGTGTGACGGGCTTTAAAGATTGGACTTAACCAGGCCTTGCCCCATCGGGCAAGGATAGTTTAACTCGCGTAGGAAGAAGGGCTGACAGACTACTAGGTATGTAGGGGTGGGCGTGGGTCCGTTATTAAAGCCCCTGTCACACATAGCTGAACATGGCCGAGCTCCCGAACACTAGCCAAACTCCTCCCAACCATGGTTAGGAGTAAGTCGGGAGCAGGTCGGCTGTTGTTAGAATTCTGCCGAGTCGGCTACTATTCTGCCGAATGGTCGGATTTGTTTAAAATATTCGGGTGTGGATCGATGGACGGTTCGGTCATGGTTGTTGGCGATGTGTTTGGGAGGTCGGGCCATGGTAGGCGGTCAAATTTAACTCAAATTCGATTCGTATAGAAAGGTAGGCGTAGCCTAAATCTGGTCAGACTGCTCCCGAACTTCAGCCAACCTTGTTCGGCCTGTGTTCGGGGGGAAGGTGTACACGACAGGGGTTTAAAACACTTTTGGCTCTAGGAGGAAAGAAGAATAGACCAGTTTTAAAGCGGGACATTTTCACTCCCTGGTTGGGACCAAAAACACTTGCAAAGAATTCTGTACATGTGCGTAGTTTACGGGAAATTGTACTGGTGAATCTGCAAACAAAATATCTCT